TTTACCAGAGGATTTTTTAACACAAGTGTCTGTACTTTTACTCAAGTACGGAAAGTGAGTACTTTTGCCATCTCTGGTGTCTGACGTTTGGTTCAAGTTTGATCTTTTCCATAAACCGAGTGAAAATGATTAAAATGATATTTAGGAGGTATTGAGTGTCTGAAGGTATCATGAGGTTTTGGTCCGAAAAGAGCAGGACAGAGATAGTTTAGTAGATAATCGACCCGACCAGTGTCTACGTCTCACAGATCTTCTCAGCGTTCTGCAGCGGATGGAGCGCCTACAGTCAGCAGATCCACCGCTCTGCTCAGTCTGAAGACAAAGACGTTTATCAGACAGTCAGACTGAAAGCTCTCCTGGTTGGCGGATGATGTGTTGATGGATCTATAGATAAACACCTGCTAGAGAGTTAACTTCCATGTCACCAAGAGAGTCATATCAGACAAATTAAATACAAAAATCAAAGTGTGCCACAATTTTCCCTCTCAATTATTTTAATCCAATTTAATGAGAATGTAAAACAATGTTTATTACATTTGATAAGTAAAAGCAAATAAAAGCTTTGATGTTAGATCATCACTAATCTCTGGGATCTTCCTGTTCTCAGACAAATTCTTCTTTCCAAATCAGGATGTTTGGATCTCAACACTTTGTTTTAGAAATCTGCCATTTTCATGACGCTGTTTTCTGTTAACTGCAGAACCTGTTAGCTGTTAACGAAACATTTTATGACGTTTTAACCGTCCATGAAAGAAAGGAGCTGAAACTGAACAGCGTCGGGTGGCTCAGAAACCGGGTCATCACCCTGAACTGGATCCGCAGGGTAATCCGACCTATCTGTAGATCTAAAACCTATGAGAGCAGAAATCCTCCTGTTAGGTAAGCCAGCTGGTGACGCCTGTTATTTACATTTAAATCCAGATTCACTTTGGCTCATGGATCCCAAAGGGAACAGAAATGTAGGTGGTGTAGGGCTTAGAAACAGCAGCTGATTTAGCTTTAAATGTTGGAGGATTCTTATTCGCCTGAATCAAATCATTCCAGATGTGCAGATGGGGAATCCTCTTCCAGTTCATTTATACCGTCTCATGTCTGGAACAGCTTCCCAAAGCTTCTCAGCTCTACCAAGAGTCCGTCTCTGTCGGCCGGATCAGTTTGTCTTCACCTACATTTCTTTTAGAGTGTCACTGGAAGGACGTGGGCGTCCTTCCAACGCCTCAGTCTCACAGACGTCCTCCAGCATTCACAGATTATCAGCAGGGAAGAAGAAGAGTGAGACACAGAAAGTAGGTCAGCCCTGTTCTACGGATCGAGACATCGACACTTTTGTTGATGATAGTTTAGTTGATGTTACAGAAAGCTGGAGGTTTCAGATGTCTGGTCAACCCTCCCCATCCCAGCAGCAGGAAGGCAGCAGAACCACTGAAGACATCAAGGTTATGGAAGAAGCAGCTGACATCAGGAGATGAGGCCCAGAATGTCTGAAAGAAAGCAGTGAAAACTCTTTATTTATGTATTGATGGGGGGAAACGGTCCGACGGAGAGAACTTTCTATAGCCTGAACCGACCCTGGCTGCAGTTTTCTGTATGGTCTGTGATGCAGATTAAATTTCTCCTGTTGCCTAGAAACAGGTTCAGCTTTAAAATCTAAAAGCTGGTTGGAGGACTTCTTTATCCTAAAGCACTTTCCTCTGCAGTAGAGCTACTGAGGATAAACTTCAAGCAGTTAGTCAAAGGCAGACTTTTAACCTGTTTGGAAACCTTAGAACCCGACCGGAGAGCAGGGATGCGCCGGAGGAAGATGCAAACTCAAACATTCTCCAACGTTCTCCGCTGTTAAATCACCACATTTAAGGTCTCTGTTGTTTGTCCTCAGCAGGAAGTCGCATTTCTCATCAACTGAACATGAAAAGAAAGTAAAATATTCAGCAGCATCTACAGATGATAAGAGGAGACAGCGTTACCATGACGACCTGTCATCCATCTGCAGCTCTGCCCTCGGTGCTCTGAAGGCAACACATTCCAGGTGTGATGTACTGGTGTGGGGGATTGTTAACCTTTCACAGCTTTCAGAGCAGCTGTTTCCTCTCGTCAGAAGCAGGACTGATGGGTCGCCTGAGCATTTACGGCTCAGACTGGGAGAGGAAAGCATCACGCACCACCTTAGTTCTTCATTTAAGGCAAAGGAGAAGGGAAGAAATATAACAGACTGAGAATTATTTCCCTTATGAAGGTTCAGCTGGCTGTAGAAAGCGGCTGAAGCAGCAATCTCCTTAAATATTCACTTCAAAACAAACAAAGAAAGGATTTTCTGATCTTACGTTTTATTTAAATCTGGCAGACACTTCATATCAGGTTTGTATCAAAAGGCTGCTTTGGATTTAAATAACGCGACAAAGTTAAAGAACCAACAGATTATCAGATTATATTATAATTGATAACCAAACAGGCCCCATTTTTCCATTAGTATCATTCAGATGAGTCATGATGATCAACAGCAGGCTTCAGATTCCCAACAACCAAACATCAGCTGAACTGAATCCACTCTTTCAGATAGAAGGTACCGGAGCAGCGATTGTCAGGGTTTTATGAATCACCAGCAGAGGAGCAGCGAAGAGGCGGAGCTTAGAGGAACATGGAGTTATTGAAGGAACCTGCTGAACTCTGATGGTTAATAATTAAAGCTCCGCTCTGAAGGGAACTCTGCTTTCTCTAATGTTCAAAGAAGAAATCCACTTTACAGTCTGCAGCTAAATTAAACTCCTTATTACACATTTCCTCTGATTTATGGCTGTTTTCCAAACGCCATAAATCTGTAGCTGACCATTTTCTAACTGGTTTAGACCGTTTTTTAGTGTTTTTCTTTCAGTTTAAATTCAATCAAGCTTAAAACTGGGAGGATAAAGATTAAATGGAGGAAGCAGTTCTGGGTCAACTAAAGTTACCTCTGGCAAAAAGCCTGGATTCATTTTTTAGTTTCATTTTAAAGCAAAAAGAAAAATGAAAGGAAAAAATAAACCACCCAACAGCTAAATATTCTGCTTCATGAAACATGCCTGGTTGAGGGAATTTCTTTTCCTAAACTAAGATCCTAAAATCCCAGGCTTATAAATCCCATGCATCCATTAAAAGATGTTGCTCTGAGAGCCATCATCATCATCATCATCATCATCATCATCATCACCAAACACCTTCCTCAGGTCTTTCTGGTCCCTCAGTCCGGCTGCTGAAACGTATCGGTTTGCTTTCCTTTACTGTCCTTTTATGGACGATTTATGGCTTATTTTGATTAGAAATCAAAATTCTACATTTAATCCTTTGTAAAATAAGTTTGTCAACAAACTTGAAATCATTGTGAAGATAAACAAGAGAGCAAATCAAATATATCTGACCCGGTCATTAAATTAAAGATATTCTGGCTCTAAATGTTAAAGTTTCCAGTGTTTCCAGTCTGCAGAGTCACTGGTTTAAGATCATCCTGGTTGTTCGCTGAAGTCTTCCAGTTATTTCAGGTTTCCTCACTGATTCGTTTGGTCTAATCAGCAAAGCTGTCACTCATCCAGAAATCACAGCCTCTGTAGCCATGGTGCCGCTTCCTCCTGCTTGTTCATTAAACACCCGCCTGCTTTCTGCTTTTCTCCTGTTTCCTGAATATTTCCATCCTGACATTTAATCATTTTTATCAGTATTTTAACTCCAGCTACTTTTAAAATTAGCAGATTAACTGCGAATTATCCTCAGGACAGGATTCAGCTGGTACACCTGAAGGCTAAAGGACGCTTGTTTCAGGACAACAACGTCCAGA